TTTGGGAAAACATTCAACATTTAAGTTGAATCAGAACAAACTATTAGATATAAACAACTACTGGCTGTACATACATTTCAAAGAACGTGCTGTTCGTAATGATGCTTGAGACATTTTTTTTCTCACTATATCTCCCTATGTGTGAAGATTAAAAGGAGAGTATTTATTTTGGAATTATCATCTCTTTAACTTAGGATGTACACCTCTGACCTGAGCTACTGAAATATTTCTAGATGGACAACCACAAAAAATAGAGACACCATTATCCTCCGACACAAAGGCTTTCTGATAAAATCACCCAGTCAAGCGGTATAATGTCAACATGAAACACCAAAAATTCATATGATTCTCTTAAAAGGCACATATAGCTGTAATATCAGAATAGGTATGAGATTTTCTGCAGAAAATGGAAAACCTCTGACATATTATTTTTTTGAGAAGCACTTCCTATTTAGTAAACAGTGACAGTTTAGGGTAGCAACAATCATTAAACCCACAGCAAATCATAAGACACTGTTAATCTTCTCCAATCTCCAGTCACAGACTATAATGCAAATTTTGTTAGAACTGGCAGGTATCTTGGAGTTCATCTGGCCCTAGGTAATCCTTAACATCCTTTCTGTCTATGACTAGAGACTGTAGAAAGATCAGCAATATCCACAGACCTTGTTGGCTCATTTGCTATAAAACCAACCAAGCAGACAATGCTCAACTGCTTCTGTTTTTCAAGCATTCATTTCAGATCATTGTAATTTGCCTATTTGCAAAACCAGAAAGGATTTCATCCTAGCTACAAAAATTTCCCATAAAAATATTTTCTTGGAGAGCATCAAAGATTTTGCGTATACTTTATAACTGAAATCATTCACTTCATGTTAGGCAGCTTTAGTGGGGGAAAGGTGAGGATCCTAGAATTGGATAGAGGAAATATAGAGAGTGAAAATAATTTGTTAAACCTGCTGAAATTTGCTGTGGACTTCTTTCTAACCAAAATTAATAAAGAATGGCTAGATGACTATTTGCAGATTTTCCATTTGAGGTTAAAAAAAAGTTTGTTTTTTGCTTAGGAAAAAAACCCCCTAAATTAGTTAAAACACAATTAACAAATTTAACAGGATAAGCAGCTCTTAATGTTTTCAAATGAAATTCAAGGGTTTTATCTATCTCTGGTTTTAGAATTAACTGAATAAAGGTTAGAGTTAACCAATGATGGAAAGAAATAGGAAAGAAGCTGGAGAATTCTATCCATTAAGCAGCTAATCTATTATCTTTAACAACCTGCTTTTTTTTTTTTTCAAGTTGGTAGGGGGAAGTTAGCCAAGAACGATCATTAAAGAAATAATTTCTAAATGCAAAACGCTCTACGCAGGGAGCCGGAAATTAAGTTCAAATCTTATTTGTACCACCATTTTTGTGATCCTAGAAAATGAAAAAAGAAATTAATATTATTGTGCCCCTCCTGGTTCTATTTACTGTTTAATGTAACTCAATAAATTCAGGTGGTAGTGGTCCCTCATTTTTTCCTGAAGAGGAAGAAATTCAGTCTCTGGGAGATTAAATAGCTTTCCCAGAGTCAAGTAGGAGGATACAGAACCAAGATTCAAAGTCAGATAACCTAGTAGGTCTTGGCTTCCTCACCAGCCAGCCAGCCATTCCTGTAGAATATGCTGGCTGGCTGGCTGGTGGCTTCCGGGTCAGGCAGCCAGACTTCCAGAGAGTGACCGCAGCCTAATGGAAACCAGGCTCATCATGAGCTCGTGTAGTTCTTTGCTTCTGGCTGAAAGAACAATTCGGGGCCTTTGCCATATGTTATACTGATCAAAAACTCATGCTGGCAGGTCTATATCTTTGATTAGTAAAAAAAATTGTCAAGGGACTATTTAATGGCTAGTGTATTTTGTGGTCAAAATCTTTAAAAATATTGGTTCTCTTGGAAAATAAATTTTTTAAAAAGATTCTTTGCTGATGAAAACGTTGATAATATTTGAACATGTTATGGGCCAAGGACCTTTCTGCTCCTCGGTTCCATGATTCAGTGGGTGACTGGTGCCTCCCATTAACTCCTGGCTGAAGGGCAACCTCTCCCCTGGGTTCTGCTCCCTTCCAAGCCCAAGGCCCAGCTCAAATCGCATCCCCTTCCTGAAACACCATTGCTTTAACCAGTTGGGTTCTCTCCTTTATCCCTAGAGAATTTCAGTTTTGCCCCTTCCAGAATGTTGTTTTAATTGGTCAGCTTCAAGCAAATTGAAAATACGGTCAGTTTTTATTCTGTCACCTGGTACAAACTCAATTAATGTTTATCTAATGAGTTTTCTAGTTTTTCAAGTGGACTGTGTAAAATATACAGAAGGATCCTCCAACTGCTGCTGAAGAAAAAAGTGCTTATATTTTAGCAAATATTCTCAAGTTAAAACTGAATCTTTTGCACAAGGATTACAAAATATTTATGAAGCCCTAAAGTATTGAATAATGGAATCTATAGACTTATGTTTTTGTCTCATTTTTTCATTACTTTTTCCTTATTTCGGAAGTAATACATTTATCATAAAATAATTTAAAAATAAAGGAAACATTAAATCATCCATTAACTCACAACCCAGAGGTAACTGTTTTAACATTTTGGGATACCCTTCCAATTTATTTCCTATGCGAAAATATACTTTACTTTTAAAGGACAAAAAATATCAAGGCCACAAATTTACTCTATCCAGAAGTAGACTATAAATAGATCTTGAGTACTTTCTAATAACATTAAATAATCACTTGAAGCATGACTTATAATGATTATACAGTATTTCTTCATATGGATATACCATATTTGGTTTAAAAACCACGGGAGGTTAGGTGGTTGCAAACCCTCTTTTGCTTGGTCTTAGTTGCTATTGATAAGTTATTTAGCAATGAATCAGTGTTTGGTTCATATTCCTAACAATTTCTGTGGGATAAATCCTAAGATGTGAAATTACTGGCTGTGTTCATTTCAACAGCAAATATATTAAAATTGAAATAAAATTACTAGCTCAAAAAAATTTCTGAAGCTATTGGTAGATACTGATGAATCTCTGGACTGAAAGACCACATTCCTTTACCCTCCACCAGCAAGGTTTAACAATACTGGGCATGCTTTAACCATAACTTTGATTAAAAACATGGTTATTTTAAAATTTTTATTTCTTAATTATTAAATGAGATTTAGCATTTTCATATGTCTATTAGCCAACAATGTTTCTATTTTTGTCAATTGTCTATGTTCTCTATCCATTCTACAATTTTGCTAGAAGTCTTTACATTTCAAGAACAAGCCAACATTCTATCTACAGTGTTTGGTGCTTATAGTCTGTGGTTTGCCTCTTTTGTTGCTTGGGAGGTAGACAGGAATGTTGTAATATTTATATAGTTAAATCTATAACATTATCCTTTATTATTTCTTTCTTTGCTTTTTCATTTAGAAATGCCTTTCTCCAATTTGAGAGCAGCTAAACATTTATTTATGTATTCCTCTAGTTATTTTATAGTTTTATAAAACACTTAACTTTAATTCATAAAGAATTATTTTAGTGTATAGTATAAAGTAATAACTTTTTTCTTTTAAGTAGTTTTAGTGTCCACTAGTCAGAGATACTATTATTATGTTCTGAATTGTCAAGAGTATTAAGGTCTATTTCTCATCATTGTTTCTTTTTTATTATTATTCATTTATCCCTATCCCAGTCTTATACCATTTTATTTACTGTAACTTCATAATGTGCTTTAGTATATAGTAGCACAGATTCCTCTTAATTCTTTTTTATTCCAAAGTTCTTAGTTATTTTTCATTCTTTTATTCTTCCGCAGTAACATAAAATAATATAAAGGGAAGTGCTATCAGGTAACAAAAACAAAAGCTCCAGAGATTTCCATTGAACTTGTACTAAATATAAATTAATTTGGAGAGAAATGATACATTTATAACTTTTAGACTTTGTGCCCAGAATCAAGGTTGTCTCTACATTTGCTCAGTTCTTCTTTTATATTTCTCTGTAGTAATATTCTTTTAAAAAGTCATATATTTCTTGTTATATTTATTTGTGAGCATTGTCATCTGTTCCTTTCTAACCATTAAGAACAATGAGAAAGATCATAAAACTTAGACTAAAAGAAGAAAAAGAACTGGGAAACAGGAGGAGTTGTTGGAGGAATAATATAGATATCTACTCTGTTCATACAGAAATGCACCATTTTTTTTTTAACCAGTAAATATATTTTTTTCCATGTATACTTTATTCAAGCAAATAATCTTTACACTC